ATGTATTACCTAATATACCATTCTTTACGATTAATTATTGAACGTATGATATTAATTATCCCAATAACTAGGATGCATTTTATAAAATTTTAATTCTTCAAGTATGACTTTACGAGGAATTCTTAACAATTTCTTTGAGCTTTTTAAATCCAAAATAATAGAGCTTTACGTGCTCAATTAGATATCATTTGAATATGACTATTTTATTTTTTAGAAAAGCAATATGAAATTCGTCTTTTCAATTCCCATCTCCATAAACCATCTCGTTGAGTTTCTTTCACTTTACAACCTTTAGACTTCTTATCACAAAATATTCTTCCCCGTCACTATTTTGCATACCTTTGATTCATTCTCTTTTATGTCATTTATGTCGCTATCTTTCCAAACCATATTAGCAATAAAATTATCTTTTCATTCATTTACATTCTTTTTTTATCGATGCCCTAAGACACTATTTATTAGTGTCGAAAAAATATAAAATAAAACTAATAGCTTTTTGATAAGGGATTGCTTATATATGTAAAAGTATATTTAATTATCTCCCATCGGATATTCGAAATCTGTAAACAATTCAACATGGTGAGAAGTTTGTTGGATAGTCGCATTACATACATCATGAATAAAATGCATGAATGCTCATACGTGTGCAGGAGTCGTGGAGTCAGAACTTTTCAGCTCGTCCAAAAGCAGATAATCGACTATGCGCTGATCTACTAGAACGAACCCCAACTTTTTTACTTTCCGTCCCTATTTTCCCTTTTCCCATTTTTCGCTCATTTCTACTTTTTCGTTTTAATTTGCAATCCTATTATCAAAAAGTTATTTGTTACGGTGCATTTCTTAGGTAATCCAAACTTTTATGAAACTGCCAATTGATTCATTGAAATTTTATGAACTTTTCTACAATATTCCTTCAATGATTTTCTGAAAATCCGAAACCATACTATTTTCATATACAGTGAACTGTTATACGTCCAAGTGGTACTATAATTAATCAAACCAATTATGAACTTACGATGAAATGCAAGTGTGCGGAATAATTAATGGACAACGCGGTAATGACTATTAAACAATTTGTTTATAATTTAATTTATAAAATGGTTATATTGTAAATAATCTGTGAATTGAAAAGCTTTACTTTTATGCAATATTATTATTTTTACAAGAAAGGAAACTTTTAAATGACGTAATGCGATAAGCTCCGTTAAATCTATCAGCATTATTTTTCCACATAATAAAACTCTTTCACCATCCAAGCCGAAGTTTAGCTCAAAGATCATCCATCGAAATAAACTTCCCTTTCTCACTTGAACGTTATACGCCGGCTGCACATAATCAATTATAATTTGTCATTTGTAATGGCCAAAGGCCAATTAATCAGACGGTCGAGTGACTTCCATCAGTGATACATTCTCTAGGCGTGCATTCGGAATCTGTGATTCGAGAGCTTTATAAAATTCTAGTCTTAATTACCGAAGAAACACGAGCATTTATTGGAACAGAAGAAGCAAACAGAGCCCGACAAACACGCCGAATCCGCTCAGATTGTCACGTGGAAAATTCGCCCAGCTTAAGTGGCCGTGCGAGGATCGAAAGGGTGGAATTTGAAATACATTGCGTGTAAAGTGCCGGGTAGGGAGGAGGTTATGCGGAAAAGAGCGCGAATGCAGGTGTTGATGCGGTACAGCGATTTTCAATTATCGGCGCCTGTCCACATTCTAGAGGATCATGAGGCTGTTATCCACTAAAATTTTTAGGATATATATATATATGGAAATACTTTCATCAGCGTGCACGAGCACCTTTTTAAATTGCATAGCAATATTAGTGGTTGAGAAATAATATGACAAAGCTAAAATAACTAAATGACATGACAGATTTTGTTTGAGCTTTTATCATGAAAGTTATTACATGATCGTTTCAGTTTCAAGATGGGGGACAATTAGAATACGGAGATAGATGATGAACGCGAAAACTCATATAAAAGACGTACTTTATTAATGAAATCATTGGTGAATGAAACCGGGACTTTTCTCAAGCATGTCTCTTTCAAAAGATTTACGCTTGGTAGGATTATAATACAGTTTTTAAAAAATACTTTAAACTATAATGGAACAATATTTTCCTTTATATATTGTTTGTATATTTCCTTTATGTATTATATTTTTTTTACCGCAAATCTTTGAATATAACATAAATATACAAATGTGATTTGAAAATGAAAATATAACACAATATACAAAATAAATATTATAATTTCCATAAATAAATTTTATATCATTCAAAATTAAATCATTAATAATTAACGCAAATTTTTCTATATACAACTAATGGAAACACTCATAAATAAATCAGTCGAAAATCCTATTACTACAGAATAAAAATATTACCAAATATACGCCAACATTTAATCAAAGATTTAAATGATTCTATGGTTTTCCAACTGAACGGGATAAGAAGATTTAATTACGAAAATCACGTATGAAATAAAAAAAATAAAGCTTTTTCAAAATCACGTTTAAATTATAAAATACATTTGACTAAATTTCATTAGTAAGCACAAAATTATACATAATATATGAATCTAGTTTTAACGGAATTATAGAAAATTTGATTCAATGTACATTCCGAAAATTTAAATTAAATTAAATATTGTAATAATAAAAAAAATTTTTGACTATAAGTAAACTTAATTTTTAATTATTTTATATTATTTTAATTATATATACTTGTGCAACCGCAGTAATATTCTAAAAATTCAAGCAATATACAAAACTCAACCTATAGCTTATTTTAATAAAAAACAAAAAATTCTTCCCGATCCTATTAATAGTAGTATTTTTGAAGGATTTTAACTATTTTATATTTCAATACCTCTTTATATAAATAATGCTTTATATAATTATTTTATCTGGCAATTAATTACTTTTTATTAAAATTTTATGTTCAATTATATATATATATATATATATATATATATATATATAAATTTTAATTAAGTATTCATAACATATTTATGTTAATGTATCTGATTTGTGATTTAACCTTAAATTATGAAATGAAGTATAGTATTCATCTAAATCACGATTACGCATTTTCATGTACTAAAGATTTTATTCCTTGAATTTATTGTACTATTATTAATTCAGTGTTTATAACGAAATATATTATCATAAATAATTTAGTAATAAAATTTATCCTGTAACTTAATCAGATCACAATCAATTTCTATGATACATATTTACATAATGCTTGCATACGACATTTATTGTTCCAACATGAATTTTTATTAATATTACTTAGGTTTAATAATGAACGATTATTTATATAGATTCATATTATGATAAAATTCACGAATTCTTGAAGTATACACATTGATAATCTAAAAATAATGGACTTATAAAATGAATGATTATTTTTCATATTAAAATTTAAAAAAACACAGAAATTATGAGCTTCATTAATTTAATAAGTATAAAATACAGCTGCGTACAATATAAATATACGAAAATCGCATGTTCATTTGTGACATAATCATTGTTTATATAAAATAAACTTACAAAGTGCATATAATCATTTGTCTTGAAATAATATTTTTTTCCATGCCTATATCTATTTAACTAAATATAGATTTAAATTTTACTCAGAAACAAATATTTAAAACAAAAAATGAAAAAATATAGACGTTTATCAACGATATAAAACCCTTATTAAATAAATAACTATTTTTAATTATATTATTGCATTTTTTAAGTTTTTAAAATTTTTCTTTTATTTTGTATATCTATCATTATATTACGTATTAATATAAATAACTGCAAGATTTATCTTTACAATACATATTGCATTGAACTTCAAAATGTCACACTTTAAAATCTTTATGATTCATAAACATGTAAATATTACTTATACAATATTACTTTACAATAATGCATGCTTTGCAATTTATTTAAAATTTAATCATGACGGTAATATTTTTCTAACTAATGTATGCTTTTAGTTACATTTTATAACGTATGCTAAAACAATAATAAAATATTCAATTACAATTATTTAATTAAATATTTGATTATTATTAAAGTAATCAGTAATATCAATTATGATTTATCATCGCATTTAACATTCTTATTTCTATTCCTAGTATTAATTATATAAATATTTTTTGCCCCAACAATTCAGTATAATAATTTATTGTGCTTATAAAAAATTATTATTTTTTTTTAAATTTTAAATTTAATTATTTTAATAAATAATAAACACAATAATTTTAAATTAGATACTAGTTAGAATTCAACTATGTCCATCAGTTGCTTAGTGGGAGAAAAAGTACGAGCAAGTGGAAAGGGTAGTGATTGAATTCAGAATTTAACAGATCTGTTTTTCATTTTTGGTATTTCTTTTATTTTACAACTACAATATAATGATTCTACTTCCATGAAGGGAATCGCTGAGATGTCAGCATGCATTACATGTAGAAGTAGGAGGTCGTAAAGTCACTTCTTCGTGCAGTGCTACGTACGGTAACTTGATTGTTGGTCTCCTCCAAGTTGTCGTGTAGTGTGAAGGAGGAGAAGGACCTTTCATAATGTCTCTGTTTAGTATGCGATACCTGTACCTAGTAAGATGTACCTATAAGAAGGTTCTTACGTAGCGTAATGATTTTTGGCTGACTAGCTCATGACTGAATAGCGCTTATCTCATGTTGCGCTTGCCTTAAATATCTACGCGACTGCTTTGTTAGCTGAAGACAAAGGGACGATCGTAGCGCTAGAACAATGCGTTCGACTGTCGTGCGAGAAAGAATTTGCACTCATTTCGGATGTACCGGATTTTCCGAGTCTCAACGACCGTTGGAGAATTTTTGTAGAAGCTATGATCGTTGAATAATTTCCTTGAAATGATAACCCTTGAAGTTTTTCTTTGAAATGATAGCTGTTGGGATTTTTCCCCACTGATAATATTTGAGAGATTCTTTGAATCTCGAACATTCCACCCGCCACCGGCAATTCCAATTTGACGATTATTCCTTTTGGTTAGGAATTGGCAGCACTGCCACTCATGTATTGGTATCATCATGATGTTTGACGTTGTTTTTAATGTGACTACTCTGGTCAGCCCATCCTTGCCTGGATGAATGTTGATTACTCTAGCGAGAGGCCATTTGCAAGGTGGGAACCGCTCATCAGTGATGAGTATCAACGAGCCAATCTTAATGTCAATCCATGGACTATGCCATTTGGAAATTGATTGTTGCCGTTGTATATAGTGAGCTAACCATTGTTACAAAAAATGGTTGTACACGTTGTTGAATAAATTGCCAGCGAGTCAAACCTGACATTGACAGTCCCTTCCGAGGTAATCCTCTACCTCCTGTGTTGACGTGTAAAGTGCCACTGACGCGAAACTGTTTATCACACTGACAAGCCCAAGTACTAGCCATCCAAAAATGGACCATTGCGCTATTAACATGGATGGAGAATACTTGATGATGTTGTACTTAATGATCTGTCCATATAAATCTGCTTCAAGAACAACATCCACAGGTCTTTGCTTAAGATATTCTGGATCAGTTAGTGTTAGATTTCTCGGATGCGGCCATGCCTAACGGGTTTCTTTTTTAATGGAAGCATTGTAATTATGACTTGATGTGAGTTAGAACGATGACTGAAGATTTCGAATGATTTGACTGAAGGATGAGTGGTACAGTACCTTGTGCCTGAGTTGTAACAGATCCTCCAATTCCATGGACGAGGATGATGGAACGTTGACGAGGTATATCGAGCTTCTTCACGAGATTCTCTGTTGCCAACGTGATTTCAGAACCTGTATCGACCAACAGGGTTGTTAGATGCGGTATTTTCTGTGAAGTGAGGATTGCACTATTTCCTCATTTGGACAGTGGTTATAAACTGTATTTATTTGCCTTAGTTGAATTGGACATCTGGTCATCACGCAGAAGGATGTGATGCCGTTTGGAACACTTTATGTACTTGTATTTGTTCCTACACTTATAAATGGCGTGGGAACTCAAGCAGTTGTACCACAAGTGTTCGTTACGTATGAAACCCTTTCTTTCCGCTATCAGCATTGGCGTAACTTTTTTAGCAAATCACTTGAATCACTAATTAGATCTTCTATCAACCCTGCCTCATATTTCATTGGTAATGAATTACAGACGAGCTCGTTAAGATGAGATTGGATTTAATATCGAGAATTCTCATATCGTTCTGTTAGATTCTCCCATGCCAGTGCAAGAGAGTCATTTTGTGATGTAAAACTCAAGATGATCTTGGCTGCTGAGCCTTCCAGTCATATTCGGAGGTAATAAAGTTTTTGCATTTACTGAGTTTCTGACTATTCAAGATTATTGATTAAAATTGGTCCCGGAACATGCTAGATAATCGCCTGAAAATTTCGGAATTGGAACATCAGGAAGATCGGTCACTTCGTTTGCTTGTCCCATCGGCGGCGATATTTCATCAGCCTTTGTAGTCTTCCATGTTGATTCATCAAATTTTTCCCCAATGATAACATTTCAGAGATTCTCTGAATTTCAAACAGATACATTAACTGATTTAAACTATTAGTTACTTTACTAAATTTACTTTATTAAATTACTATTATTAAACAATAGAATGTTGGGTATTTCTATTTTACTACGATATAATAAAAGTTTCTAGAATCTTCATAGTTTAATAAAAATTTTAAAAAACCAATATTCAGTACTAATATCTCAGCCAATATTTATATTTTATCGATGATAGCATATCAATCATTATTCATAAAAACAAGAACTCTCAATTCCGTATACTTTCAGTGTAAATAGGGTCGATTAATTTTTTTCTAATTATCAGTGCGATTCTTATATGAAATTCTAGCTTTAGCTTTTCATTGAACTACTTTATTTTATTTTTATTCCTATGGAAACTATCACTTTATCTATCCCTGTTAAAATTTTAGCAACTTATAAAATTAATAGAATGAAATGATAAAGTGTTTATGTATATCATAATAATAATGATTAAAATTTAATTTTAGATTTTATTTATGTACTGCTTTACAAAGTTTATTACTTGTTAAATGGGATATACAAAGATTATGAGATACATTCGTGAATAATTATTATTTTGAGTTTTATACCATAGAATGTAAAACTTTCAAAGATTTATGCATGATTTCATATAATTTTTTAACATTTACTTAAATAAATTAGCTTGTAATAATAGTTTAGAGTAGTAACAAGTAGGCCATTTTTTTAATCGCTACAAAAAATATATAAAACCATTCGCGAGAATCATTCTCCCTATATTATTTGCATTAATTTTAAAAGAACCTGAATATTGGCAGAGCATAAGAGGTTATACAATATTTTTGCTCTTACCTTAAATCAAATAAACTATCATTAATAATAATAATGACAATCGTATATATAATCAATAAGCATTGTTGCAAGCACTATTAAATATATTATATAAATAATTTCAATTAATATTATTAATAATATAATAATTATAGTAATTATAATATAAGTATAAATTTTAGTATTAGTGCGTGTAACAATTCATCTTTTAATTATTATTTAAGATATTATTTAATTAAAACGATTATTTTATGTGAGTTTCCCAATCGATTATTAATTTTTTTATTTATTTATTTAATTTTTTATTTATTTATTTAATTTTTATTTATTTATTTTATTTATTTATTTAATAGAAAATCTAAGATTTATAAATTTGGTATTATTAATTGAAATCTATGTGGTCAATATGTCTGTTTAAAAAGTTTCAAAAATGTTATTTAATCAATAATTATTTTAATTGAATATATTTTATGTCATATTTAACATATCAATGCTAACAAATTATTTTTATACAAGTAAACAAATAAGCGTTAACTATTAACATTTACTAATTTTATTAAAATACGTGACACGCAATAAATACATTAGAATCTGTTCTTATCGTGGTTAATAAAACAATAAATATAAATTTTATGATAATGATGGAGTGCATGTGAGGGAGAGAGATAGTGAGTGAGAGAGAGAGAGAGAGAGAGAGAGAGAGAGAGAGGGGGGAATGATCGATTAAAGTTGTGCGTGCTAACTAAAAGTCGACAGAATGATGTCACACCCCAAAAATATCTCCTCCCTGATCATGAACAAATTGCGGCTCATTTTTTTTATTCCTATAATATTTATTATTATATTAATGTAACACATATTGATGAAATGAATAAATGAAGCACCCTTTGGAAATATGAATTAGCTCAATTCCTTTTTTATTTTCAAAGTAAGAAATTAAAGGTTTAGATGGATCAACCGAAGCCATCAGTCCGATATCAGAACGCAACATACCAACGATGAATCGGTAATGGGTTCTCCCTCTTCCACCCCGTTTAACTCGTTTTTCGAAGCAACTGAACTCATACAGAACCGCCACATTAACGACGTACCATTTTTCAAATCTCTTCCGAGCTTCCAGTCGACTTGCCACGACGACGACGTCGACGACGACGACTACGATGATGATCACGCACTTCGTCAATTCACGGAGTAGCTTTAGCCACTTTCTTTTGTGCAATGGATCTCTCAATGCAAACGATGGTAGCAAAAAGCAGATATTTCTTTTTCTATTCGGGTAGTTTCGATTGATTCTGAGCAATGGAGAAAAATTATTCTGTTTTATGGTTTGGAAAATTATAGAAAGCAGTTAAGATTCAATGGAAGTTAGTAGTCGTTTTTAAACAATGGATAAAATAAATTCATAACTTTTGATTAAATTTTTATTTTTAATTATATTTTAAAAATTTAAACGAATTAAAGAAATAATTAATGAATTCATTATTTCAATAATTATTGTGATTTAATTAATTAATAACATACATTTTACTAATAAATAAAAAGGGATCTTAACCACCCATCTTAGCTCTATTGAGTCTGAAGAAGTACACAACTAACATTATGAATATTTTACTGGAACATTATAGATTTTCCATGAAGGTATATTAACTGCATTAAATAATATTGATTCATAAATTAAAAACATTAAAATTTAATGAATTTTTTAACGCTGTTATAATACGGAACCTCACCAATTGCATTCGTATTCTAATTCAATTTGACTAAATTAAGTGCCACAAATACGTAGGACATCTCATAGGTCATCTACGGGAAATAGAAACACATAAATGTAGCATTCTCGATGATTAAAAAGTATATGATCCATCGAAATCATATTAGTTTCATAGATCGAATAAAAACAGACTCTTTTTCTTTTGTATATGTATATATTTGAAAACTGACATTGCATACGCTAATAATTTCAATCAAACATCAATGTTTGTCATTCCATATCAAGCTCATTTGAGTTATTCATATAACTTTTTACATTTTAATTTTATAATTAATTTTGTAAAGTATATACGAAAATCATTGAATTCAGTTGCGAAAAAAGAATTTATAATAATTAAACTTTATTTACCGACATAACAAATCATTCATCTAAATTACACGCACATATAATCTATAATACATTATATTTAAATTATTTTTTAATAATTTCAAACAAAATTAAAAGTAGATTAGTTGATTAAAAAATATATTTCTGATACATTTGTTAACTACATAGTTTCAAGATATTGTTAACCTCGAATAATAATATTATACTGTTATGAAATGTATGAAATGTAGTATTTATTTTACATAGAATTAATATAGAAAAATAGGTATATAAAAATATAGAAAAATATAATATATAAGTATATTTAATTTATTGTTTGTTTTTAATGATTATAACTCGTTGGATAATAGTTGAAAGGAAAAAATACTATTAAATGCTTATTCCATTTGTTGTGGGATAAAATTCACAATCCTGTATAATAATCGGAGGCATACAAATTTTATATCAATTCCTTGGATGTCTGGCGTAGTTTCATTATCAAAAAGTAGTTGAGAAAAGAACAGTCGATGCTATGTGTTTTGAGCCTTCGTGATGTTGATTCAACAGTATTCCAAATATATATGGGGATATAACATGCGTATAGAGCCGCTTGCCTCCTTATTTCATTCCTAACCCGTATTCGCCCTTATTATTATCATCATCATCGTGACTACTACTACTACTACTACTACTACTACTACTACTATTATTATTATTATTATTATTATTATTATTATTATTATTATTATTGTTATTATTATTGTTATTATTATTATTGTTATTATTATTGTTATTATTATTATTGTTATTGTTGTTATCATTGTTGTTGTTGTTACTTATGTTTTTTACTTCAAGTTGGCCAACGGTTTTATTGCCCTTTTTTGCGCGTGACCCTTTCGTGCCTTTGGCAGCCAATCGCAAGCATAGAGATAACAATCGGCAGGCCGGTGCTGGTAGTAGCGGATATTAGGAGGGGAAGGACTTTAATTGCGACTCACTGGAGGTCGCGGATCGATTTGTCGCGTCGCATATACGTAACTTTTTTCTCGTATCGTGAGAGTTGGCTCTTATGAATTTTCCGCACTCGGACTCATACTGTGTGCAACTCCACTTCACCTCCAACCGCAATGACAACTAAGGAATATCATATGCTTTCGATATTTTTACATTCGACAATTTAATGAATACGCATAAGGCTGTGTAAGATGTATTTTTGTTAATCAAGAGAGATTTTGTTCGGTCAACCAATTCTTTTTAAGCTATAAGCAATTTTAATTTATAAATTAAGCTGATATTTTTAGATAGATTTCATAATCTACTTATCTTAATCTTATTATTCATTTATATATATATATATATATATATATATATATATATATAAATGGA